CAACGGCTGAATTTTCTGTTTGAAAAAAAAAACCCTGGTTAAACATATGTTAAACCCTGAAGTACACTGAACTTTTTTTTTTTCCCCCAGGAGTTTCACCGAACAATTGCGTAAAATCTCAAAGGATGCTGGGATGCCCATCCAAGGCCAGCCGTGCTTCTGTAAGTACGCGCAGGGAGCCGACAGCGTGGAGCCCATGTTCAGACACCTGAAGGACACGTACGCCGGGCTGCAGCTCATCATCGTCATCCTGCCTGGAAAAACGCCCGTTTACGGTACGAAAAGAACCGTTTTGTTAGCAAAAAAATATAACAAAAGTCAAACACTGAGGAAAAGAAGTTTTTTATTATTATTTTTTTTTATCATAATAATTTTATATTTGTCTTCTCACAGCCGAGGTGAAGCGTGTGGGCGACACTCTGCTGGGCATGGCCACCCAGTGTGTCCAGGTGAAGAACGTGGTGAAGACGTCCCCTCAGACGCTGTCCAACCTCTGCCTGAAGATCAACGTCAAACTGGGAGGAATCAACAACATCCTGGTTCCTCACCAACGGTAACGTGACAGAGTAGAACGTCGTCTCACTCATCTGAGAGCCTGGACCGATCAGTCGGAGGTTAATGCTGCGTCTTCTCTCCTCCAGGCCGTCCGTGTTCCAGCAGCCCGTCATCTTCTTGGGAGCAGACGTCACTCATCCTCCAGCAGGAGACGGCAAGAAACCATCGATCGCCGCGGTGAGAAAATCAACTCACAATCACTCTTTTTTTAATTTTTTTTATGAACCTATAAATGATAATATAATTTCCATTTTAAATGTTAATAACAAATTGACACAGTGCTGTATTGATATTTTCTTAAAACACTAATTGTTCCTGCCTTAAATTGATACCTTGACCTTTGACTCTTGTCTTCCTCTGACAGGTGGTGGGCAGCATGGACGCCCACCCCAGCAGGTACTGCGCCACAGTCAGGGTGCAGAGGCCCCGACAGGAGATCATCCAGGACCTGGCCTCCATGGTGCGGGAGCTGCTGATCCAGTTCTACAAGTCCACCCGCTACAAACCCACCAGGATTATCTTCTACAGGGACGGGGTCTCTGAGGGCCAGTTCAGACAGGTCCGAAAAATATTCCTCTAGTTTGTTTTCTTTTGAGGCAGGGGGAGAAAAACTAAGCTGTTTAGTTTTTATCTCACAGATGGTTTTAGAACTTTGTCAGAAGACTGAGGTCGTAGTCACAGTCTGTCAATATTTCCCATGATTCCCTGTTTCCCTGCAGGTGCTGTACTATGAGCTGCTGGCCATCAGAGAGGCCTGCATCAGCCTGGAGAAGGAGTACCAGCCGGGGATCACCTACATCGTGGTCCAGAAACGTCACCACACTCGTCTCTTCTGCGCCGACCGCAACGAGCGGGTCAGCAGCGCGGAGAACGCTTTTTTAAAATTCCAAACTTTCAAACTAGTACAGATGAATGAGTCACTGCTGCAATGGGTGGGTTTGGACCAATAGAAATGTTACGTTTCCTCTCATATCACCTCTGTTTGGTTCATCACAACCAGGTGGGACGAAGTGGAAACATTCCTGCAGGAACCACCGTGGACACGGACATCACTCATCCCTATGAGTTTGACTTCTATCTCTGCAGCCACGCAGGGATCCAGGTGAGGAAGACACCAGTGGACGACTGGTCTGGACCAACGTGCTGTCCTGTCTGTCTGTCTGTCTGTCTGTCTGTCTCCCTCCCTGACTCCCTCTGCTCCTCTGCCCCCCCCCCCCACCAGCCGTCCGTCCCACTACCACGTCCTGTGGGACGACAACTGTTTCACGGCCGATGAGCTGCAGCTCCTCACCTACCAGCTGTGCCACACCTACGTCCGCTGCACTCGCTCCGTCTCCATCCCTGCGCCGGCCTACTACGCCCACCTGGTGGCCTTTAGAGCACGCTACCACCTGGTGGACAAAGAGCACGACAGGTGGGTTTGAATAATGTTGACTGTTAAGTTAAAGTCAATATTTAATTAGTTATTTCACAGCATTGATTTTTATATTTTTATGATCATAAGTTTTTGTGATCTTTTTATTGAACGTTGTATTTTTAATGATGTGAATTCTAAGCAGAAAATGTCACATTTATATAAATATTTTCATTTCTGCGTTCCTTTGTGTTTCATTGTCCTGTTGCTTCTGTTTGGTCTCCGTCCCCCACCAGTGCGGAGGGCAGCCACGTCTCAGGCCAGAGCAACGGCAGGGACCCTCAGGCTCTGGCCAAGGCCGTTCAGATCCACCACGACACACTGAGGACCATGTACTTTGCCTGAACCACCTCCTTCACCTCTCTCACACTCAACTCTCGTCCAGTCTTAAGGTTCGACTCCACACCTGGTGCAGTTTTTGGTACAGTGGCGGTGGGGGAGGTGGTGGAGGCGGCGGCGTCTTCGACCGCTGCCGTGTCGGGATGAAAAAGGCCAGAAACAGAGTCACAACCACACGATGCAATAAGAAAAACCAGCTGGTTGTTCCTGCCTCCACACCTCCTTTGCTGTTTTCAAATCGGCAGACGTTTGCCTCCAGATTTGGATTCAGCAACTCAAGCTTTTGGTTAAGCAGGGATTATTTTTGTGCGTTTGCTTAAATACAGTCGGAGAAGGCGGAAATGTAGAAACTGATGATTCTCTGGTGCGTACGTGAACAGGAACGGAGCAGAACCGGCCCGGTTCTGACTCCCTCACACTGAGCCACACTGATTGTTGCTGGTTTAAACTGTCCACGGTTTTTACACGGTTGTTTTTCGTTTTATGTTTTAAAGAAAAAAAATGTCGTTTTCAGATTTTTTGGAAAACCAAGAGCACGTCAGTTCACAGTACAAGCCCTTTTCTCATCACGGCGTGCTGCCTTCATGGTCCCTCCTCCTGCCTCCTCTTAATGCAGTGATTCCTCACAGCGTGAAATCACACGGCTGCACCTTTTACACACAGACACTGAATGAACACTTTGGTTTTTTTTTTGTTTTTGTTTTTATAAAGACAAAGCCGCGTACATCCAGATTTCAGAAGGCTCCTTCGTACATCACTTGTTGCCTTACATCGAGGCGAGGTCCATCATGACGACTGCGGTCGATATTTAAACTCGTGTTTCACTCCGGTACACCGTGCGGTACCGAAATGTTTGTGGCATGTTTTATTTATCCTATTATTTATGATTTTTCTTTACGTTTTAAATTAACGTTCTATTTCCACGTCAAAAAAAAACATCGATCTTCAAGTTTGTTCCTTCGATAGTTTTGTTTTTAAACGAGAATCTGATTGGATTAGCTGTTTTCTTGGTGCAATGAGGTGCTTCGGGTCCAGTGTGTAAGAACTAGTGACATCTAGTGGTGGGATGAATTGCAGCAAGCGGAGAACTCCTCTGTTTTTGCATTCCTTTCCCAGACTTTTCAGGAAACTCCAGTGGCCTTTACACACCTGCGCCATCTGAGTTTAATACACAGATCCAACAAAGATGGCGGTAGCGCGCTGATATATTTATCAAACTCTATCTCAGTCATATTTCTTCGGACCATTGCTACCTGGTTGAAATGATTATGTTTCTGCCAAAGGTAAATGTCACAAAGTAATGTAAGATTAAGTTTTAGCAGAACATTAGCAAAGAAAGGGTTGAATTGCTCAGTTGGATTTGAAAGTGATTTAAAAAAGTGATTTATTTGAAACGATTTAAGTTCCCAGTAAGAACAAGGTCAACACAAGAGAATGTTTTTATTATTATTATTATTTATTAATAAGTTCTTTCTGCATTCTCCTTTTTAAATTTTTTTTTTCAAAATAACATTTATAGCATCATGTCGTAGACAAGAAAACCTTAGACTAGTCAATAAGATCATGGGTGAAAGTGGAAGCACTTATAAAAATATGCCGAATGCTGGGCCGTGTGGAACACCTGTTGAGAAGTAGCCTAAAAACCTACGGATCACTTTCCATCCCTCCTTTATTTTTAAGCAGTTAACGTTAAGAATAGCAACACCCGACGTTAGAGAAGGCCTTTCCGATGTTACTGTACACACTGGACCATTTATTACAGACAGAGTCCTGGAGTATTGGTACGCTACAGTCGTCGTCGTGTTTGGCAAGTGACGATGAGAAAGAATTCCGAAAAGTATTTGACTTTGACGTGGTATCGGTTCAGGCTTTGATGGTTTGTTTGTGGGAAAAGGTCGTCGAACAAAAAAAGTGCCTGATGTGTTTTTGTTCTTTTAAACTTCTGTCGGTCGGTTGCAGTTGAATCGTGTGTAGGTTTGAGCATTAAAGATGCCGACGTGTAGAAATACTGAGCTGCACGGAAGGTCGTCACTGAGGCGGGGAAAAAAAAAAACATCCTTTAAACCTGCAGTTGACTTTATGATACACTTTTGCACTTAGAGCCAAACGAAGACTCAGTGTCTGACGCAAAAATATGCAAAATCATGAAACACTTAAACACTTCATTAATGACACAATATTATTTTTAAAAAAACAACAATATTTGACATACCTTTAGAGACGAGTCACTTTCAGAGATATTGAAAATTTACACAATTATAGATAAAATCGTTAAAGCTAAACATTTGATATATATATATTAAGATTATTCTGTTTTTGGTATTTGGTTCCGTGAAGATGAAAACCTTGGACCAAACCCACGTGCCTGTTCAGGGGGTGTCTGCTCAAGAGAGGTGGGGGGGGGGGGCAGCGGCTCAGTCATAGTGTCGTGCTAAAATGTTAAGAAAAGGGCTGCATACTGCGAACTGTGCTAACTGGCCACATGTCACTATAACCAAACGTTAGCTGCTACTGTGTATTTAATATGAAGCGTTTAGATGAGGTTTGTCCATAGGTGAGGTGGGATCTTCATGAGCAGGGGGATGTGTTTGGCGCCACCTATAGATGTTTTTAATGACGTAAAAAATAATTACCAGAGGAGATCGGTTCCACGTTGCGTTTGTCGAAGCCGTATCTTGATGTCAGACATTACCAGCGTTTGATTTTTACTTGAATAGTTTTAGTCGTCGTTGTGGGCGAGCTTAACGTCGTTAGCTAGTGCTCGGCTTGTATTTTAAAGTATATCTATATATATATATATAAATGTGTAATGTTTATCCATATGTATACGGAGAGCCTTATCACAGAAGCCACCCCTCGTTTCCTGTCACGATGCCACTTACAGCAAACTGACCTTTACAGCCTCGTAGGCTAACGCCTCTTTCGCCTTGAAAATGATGAGTGTTTTTACAACAATTCTGAGTGGAGATATATTTATATTTAAAGATACTATAGTGATGCACATACCACTTATTTTTACTAATAATAAAGAACCTGGTAGCTGTCTGGAAATGCAGCTTTTTAGACGCTCGCGGTCAATTTTTCTTTCTAAATTCAACAATGCAATATTAGTTAAAGAAGAAGAAGAAGAAGTTCAGATACAGTGTGTGCATTTTTAGAGACTTTTTTGGGGGGGGGGTGTCATGTCAGTGGACCTTTGACCTTCCTCTGCTGTACCCACCTGTAGAAACATCCCTTTATTCCTTCTTGATCATCTCAAATACTCGTTAGAAAATATGTGTTGTCGTTGTTGTGCACCAGGGCTCCAGACTGTGGTCCATTTGTTGTGTTTTTGTATTGATTTATATCCAGAACAGTTAACAGAATAGCTTGTACAACAGACAGCACCAACATGGAAAACTGACATCATGGTCTGTTGATGAAGTCACGATCAAATCCAATTTTTTTTTTTTTTTTTAATGATTTACACCAACTTTTTGGGCCGAGTGTTGAGCCTTGTGGAACGCCGCGTTGCATTCACAGGGTGTTGTTGTTGGCGGCCATTTTCAACTAAATGGGATTGTGAATTTACAATGCGTATTTTTGGACAGTGCAGACGCCTTGAGCTGGTGCTTCTTGCGAACACGTCAGTCTGGAGCCCTGTCGGTGACACGCGGAGGAGGCGGAGGGTTGAACTTTGATACTTGTGCACGTTGGTCCACACACAGACTGTGCCTTTCCTCATGGTGCTAAAAAAAAGTTCAAAGAAAAGCCTCACATTCAGAGTCTATAAAGATGAGTATATATTCATACATGGCAATACTGTAAGGTGTGTGTGTGTGTGTTTTTGTGTGTTTGTGACGCTTTCAACATATGCCAAGAACACAAAGTTATGCAGAACTGATCGGTTTGGGACGGGGACAGGACCAAACGAGGCCTGTGGGGATCAGTTTGACGCGGACGGGCACTTTTCAAGCACAAACTAAAAAAAAAAACGTAACATTTCTGGGTTTTTTTTTTTTTTTCTCAAAGGGGAACACTCTTGATGATTTCTGTAGTCAAAGGAGCAGCTGAGCGCGGTCGCTACGTAGCATAATTTATTGAAATATTATTTCTATCAGGACCTGACTTGACCCCCCCGTTCATTACTGCCTTTTTTTTTTTTTTTTTTTATTCTCAAACCTGCAGCAGTGGATCAGTGCAGCAATCCTTTAAGTTTCTGTGCAATCGGTCAATCCCTCCCTCCGTGTATGCATGTCGCTATCCAACCTTTAGGTAATTTTTATTCTTATTATATTAATGTGAAATTTAGACGTTTACAAACATTATTGTTTTTCTTTTCTTCTTTTTTTTTTTTTTGCATGTGTGCCGCCTTTTATGTTAAGGTTTTTTTTTTTTCCTCACATCAAATAATAAACCTGTCTGGGGTTTTGGCTGCGTAATATCATCATCACACACAACAAGAGAAATATATGTTTGGATTTCACAGTGTAATAATTAATATATATATATATCTATATATGTATGGTTTTATTTTGGATGACCCAGCCAGCAGGATCATGTGTGCCCCACGTGGGTTGACTTGGCCTACAGTACAAGGGTACAAAGTGGACTGGACTGACTGTGAGTCTGTAGACCACACCGCGTTGACTGGGTGGATATTTGAAATTGTGTCACTTTTACAAATAAAGACCTCTGTTTTTGTCTTAACACTCATCTGATCCTGGTCCTACGCTGAGCCTTTTTATCTGGTTGACATATTTAATTTTTTTTTTTTTGAATAAATACACTTATGTATGAAAACGGAAGTTTTGTTTTATTCGTAGCTCGTCCAAACTCCTGCAGTGAAGGATAATAAGGCAGCAACAACGACGACGACAGAAGGTTCACTTCTGCTAGCTTAGTGAGGGAATTTGACTTTGTAAGAACCGGAGGAGTGGCAGAGGAGAACTTGAGGGTGGTGCAGCACAATGTGTTGGAGAGGTGGAGGTCCCGTCTGGCGTGTTGAGCGTTAGTTTATGGTCAACTTTTTTGGAGTTTTGGAATAGAATTTCAAACTCGAAGATGCGTTTTTTTTTTTTTAATGAACCGTACCAAACATTTGAAATAGACGTACGTATTTATGTGGCCTGGATGTGAATTGCGGCAATAATGTTTTGTTGTCTTAGCTCCACGACCAAAGATATCTCCTCGTTTCTATCACGACGGTCGTCTCCCGTCTGGTAACGTTAAGCGGTTTGGAGATTTAAAGACGAGGTTCCAGAGGTGTTGACCGTGGGGGGGTTTGAAGAACAACAACTGGCGTCACGTTGTCTGGAACAGAAACAGCGGGTCGACCAACCACGTATGCAAACCACTGTATCGAAAACCACACAAAGCCAAGAGTGTCTGTGCTGTGGAATAATTTATTGACTTTAATGAAGGCGTCATAAATGAGCGGTGAATAATAATGAACAAAAGAGTTCAGTCTGCGCTGATAAAAAACTGGACTAAACATAGCTCCAGTTATCTGAGTGTACGTGCGCTCCACGTGCACGGGAGTTCATTATTACTGACAGGATGTTTCTTATCAATCAGCCCCCCCCCTCCAGCTTCACATCCCCCCTTTACAACCTCACCCAGGTGTCGTCTCTGTGTTTACCCTCGCAGCCCTGTGTGCGTATTTCACGTCGTGTACTTTCCGCAGCAGCTGTTTTACATCCTTTTAATATTTTAATATCTTCCAATCAAACACGGCTCCTTTCATTAAACTGCGCCGTGAGTTACTGTAAAGGTTATTGGACTGTACACAGGCGGCTGGATCAAAACAGTCAGAAGTCAAACACTGACGACTGTTGGAGACTTTTCTTGGATTTGGTTTCCATCTTAATAAATCCATCTTTTGGATTAACCGCAGGTGAGAAACACTGACCTCTAGCTGCTGGTATTTGTCCTGTTCTAGAAATACACAGAAAAAATAAATTAAAATTTTGTCGTATTCAGGAGTGTTGCTCAATCCCAACTAATCATGATCACGATTAATCGCGACTGATCCACAGCTACCCGGTGATTAATCGGACTTAGATTGTTAATCGTTTAACTGTCATAGTTTTGTTTTCCAGGTGCAGGTTAGGGCGTCCAACAACCAACGAGGCTTCGACTGCCGGTCAAAGGAAATGATGTGATGCCTGTGATGCCGTGAGCCTGGAGAGTTTGTGAAAGTCCTTGAAGCTCCAGTGTCAACAGCTCCTGAAGTCGAGGTTCCACCTTGAGAGTCTTGGAACATTATGTTCCCTCTCAAGGTGGAACAGTTTCCCTGTACTTCCCACTCCTGGTGGACTTCTGCGGCGGGGCAGCTCCAAACCTGAGGATGTGCAGTTTACCCACGATGCTCCTGAAGCAGCTGTTCAACATGGTCCTGACCGCCACCGATGAGAAGTAGAAGATAAACGGGTCCAGGCAGGCGTTGAAGGTGGTGGAGAGCAATGCTATGTTCCTCCAGTCCTCGTTCTCCAGCTGGACGAAGCCCACCACGTGGGAGACGTTGTAGGGCCCGAAGCACATTGTGAATACAATCAAGGTGCCGAGGGCCAGGCCGTCGGCCCGCAGCCTCCGCCGCCGGCCGATGTTGGGCAGTCGTGACAGGATGAGTATGAATCTGATGTAGCAGAAGCAGGAGATGATGAAGGGGATGCAGAAGAGGAAGATGAAGAGCTCCAGGCGGAAGGGTTTGATGATGTCCAGCTCCTTCTCCGTGAAGTTTCGGTAGCAGTGGTGTGGAGGCGGCCGCGGGCCGCTGCTGCTGCTGCTG